CCATTTTTCACAGAGATTAAGGGATGAAAGAGGGTCAGTTGGTGGGGAATTTAATTCTCCGTCGAACGGCTCTTCTTTCATGCCTTAATGTCAATTAGGAAGGGAGAGGTGAATTTTTAATTACCGGGAGTCACTGTGCGCCGCAAAACAATTATTTTTCTTACTGGCCCCTGACTTTCATGGCGATTTTAATTTTTTTGTTACAAAGATTAAGGGATGAAAGAGGGTTAATTAATGAAAAATTTAATTCTCCGTCGAACTGCCCTTTTTTCATCCCTTAATCTCAATTAGGAAGGGAGAGGTGAATTTTTAATTACCGGGAGTCACTGTGCGCCGCAAAACAATTATTTTTCTTACTGGCCCCTGACTTTCATGGCAGTTTTTAATTTTTTGTTACAAAGATTAAGGGATGAAAGAGGGTTAATTAATGAAAAATTTAATTCTCCGTCGAACTGCCCTTTTTTCATCCCTTAATCTCAATTAGGAAGGGAGAGGTGAATTTTTAATTACCGGGCGAATGGTGAAAAGTCAGTGTGCGCCGCGAAAAAATTATTTTTCTTACTGGCCCCTGACTTTCCTGGCAGTTTTTAATTTTTTGTTACAAAGATTAAGGAATGAAAGAGGGTTAATTAATGAAAAATTTAATTCTCCGTCGAACTGCCCTTTTTTCATCCCTTAATCTCAATTAGGAAGGGTGAATTGACGTTGGAGGCTATCATACCCTAGGTGGTATGATAGCTGCATTAAATTGTAAAAAAAAAGAACACAGTTTGTGGGAAAAAGCCTTTCGGCATAAAAAACCCAGATTTATTATCAATACACCAAGTTTGGATGGTTCACTGTGAATGGCGGTGACACACACGACGATTCACACACACATACATACAACACAATGTATTTTTTCGTTATTTTAGTTGTTTGTGACAACGGTTAGCACGTGTCCACACATATAAACATTAACCGACACTAAAACCTTAATAACGCAGGCTAATTTGGGGGTTGATTGGCGCAATCGTTAGTTGCGTCCTTGGAAGCGTGGCTGTGTGACACGTGGAGGCACGAAATCGTGTGATTTCGTGCCGTTGGTTAATCGTTCTTTCGATCGTTAATTTTATAGCCACTTGCTATTAAAATTCGTTTCACTAGTGCACTAGTCCGTTGTTGGTTAGTTTAATTTGTTGAACCCGTTGGGTTCGTTTATTTAAAGTCGTGATGACTCGATAAGTTTTAAGATTTTGTTTGAGCTCGATACACGTTTCAGTGTCGGTGTTAACTAACTGACGCCATAGCGTCCGTCGGCGTGCGTCCCCCCGTCGAGCGAGAGGGTGCTGCCACCATTTGCCGCCTACCTATAACCGTCAGCGCGGGCACATACCAGCGACAACGGCGCCCGGAACGTGCCGCCGCCGCTTGTCGCCAGCATGTGAACGCGGCAGTAGACCTTCGCAGGTGTTACAATGTAACATACTCCCGGCGAAAGCTGCGAAATGTTATTAGAATATAATGTTATAGAGCAGGTCGAATAAGTTCGCATGTTTACAATTCTTGATACACTAGATTATAACTAAGTTACAGGCAAGAGACATAGGCGAGTGATGTTCCGTTTGTAGATGCCGCCAGCAGTTTTGACTGATGCGACTCGAACGATGCCGTCACTCCCAGGGAAGACTTCTACGATCACTCCCAGTGGCCATCGTGCACTGGTGATCAGATCATCCATGAGGAGGACCACTGAGCCTATTTTGAGTTCCGCAGTTGAGTCATGCCATTTTCGACGAGTTTGCAATTCGTGGAGATATTCTTTGTGCCACTTGTTCCAGAAATCTTGTTTGGCCTTAGTGATGAAATTGTACGTAGACAAACGATTATCTGGAACTGAAATAAACGATTTATCGGGCAGCGCGTTAAATGGTCTGCCTATCAATAGATGAGCTGGAGTTATGGCTAAGGCATCATTGCGATCGGCTGAAAGAGTACACAAAGGTCGCGAATTTAAGATTGCTTCGATCTCGATAAGAAGAGTGTTAAGTTGCTCATAAGTGAGCTTGTGATCCTTTAAAACGCGCTTTAAATGATGTTTGAAACTCTTTACAGCNGCAGACTAGTTTGATTAATACATCACCTAGTGGATTGCTAGATTTGATATACAGACACGCCCCATATCCATGAATGGAGGCATCACAGAATCCATGGATTTCGACTCGAGAATGATTAGGGATCAGAATTTGTCGAGGAAATGAGATTTCTTGCAACCTTGGTAGTTGNTGCTTCCCAAATCCTTCCAAAATGGGGAGACAGTGGCGGATTGAAGTGCCACTCGATGCGCTTGGACAAAGCATAGTTTCCTACTACCTCTTTGAAATCAGGGGTGGAAATCAGATCGTAAAGTTCGCTGAGCTCTCTGTTCGCTCCAACGAAATTTGTACCATTGTCAGAATAGACATGTTCAGGAACTCCTCTGCGACTGACAAACCTTCGAAATGCTGATAAAAAACCTTCTGTGGAAAGATCAGTGGCAAGCTCGCTATGTACGGCCTTTGAAACCATGCAAACGAACACAACCGTAGGCCTTGAGGAAGGATCGGTTGCGATCCTTCTTCTCCTTGATGAGAATTGGTCCAAAGAAATCGACACCTGTGCGCGAGAAAGCTGGTGCTTCGTTGACTCTAGCTCTAGGCAAATCAGCCATCTGAGCGTGAACCAACTTTGGTTTCTGGCGGATGCATTCAACACATTGACAGACAAGTTTCCTAATTTGATCCTTGCCGTTTAAAATCCAGAATTTTGTTCGAATGGCCTGAAGAGTACTTTGGATTCCTGCATGGAGATTTGACTGATGAACCTGTCGAATGATCATATCCGTAACAGGATGTTTACTAGGCA